GTCCTGGCTCATTCCCAACCTTTGGAGCCCGTTGGCACAGGGGGCTGCTCAAGGCAACACAACCCCTCCCTGGGCCTCCCTGTGACCTCTCTGCCCACCCCACCACGGTCCCAGCCTGACACAGGCCCTCCAGAAAGGCTGTGGTTTCAGAATAATTCCTTGTCAACCAGAAATAAATGTTTTATGTTGTTTTTCTTGGTGGTTCTACAAAACGGGAGGGTTCAGTGGGCAAAGCATCAAGGGTGAGACCTGGGGAACCGCCAGGCAGGGCACAGCCTGGGGATGAAGCTCACAGAAGGGCTTTGCAGTATTTGAATTGCAGTTTAATGGCTATTTTAATTGCGATTTTATCCAAAAATAAACTTTTGAAAACTAAAGTAGTGCATTAGCGTTGTGCAAAAAGAAGGAGAGGCAGGACAACAGGAGAGAGGAAGCAAAGCATGAGGTGAAAAAGCAAAATATGGAAAGGGAAAGGCCAGGGGAGACATGGGAAAGGTGCCAATGCACTCACCTCTCACTCCTTGCTTGGTCCCTCGTGTAGGACGGTGCTCACAGGAGAAGGAAAGATTTCCCCCAGGTCCTGAAGCCACTGAATGGGTGAGACCAGATGGACCAGGGCACTTCCAGAGCAGGAGTCAGGAAAGGGGCATCCCCTGTGCGATGATGTGCAGGATCCTCGTCCCTCTGGGCATGAAGGGAGGTGGGGACTGAAGGCAGCCCATGCAAGGGGGACACAGGTCAGGGGGTTCTCCATGGACACCTGAGCTGAGGCTGTGCTGGAGAGGCACATTTTGGCCAGGACTAACTGATGTATGAGCAGCTCCATCCCTCCCCTTCACTGAATCCCAGCTGATCTGGTCAAACCCACTTTTCTCCTCTTCCAAGGTGACCTTCCCAACCTCAGCTGAGCCAATACTAACGACCCCTTCCCATCCTGCCCTCCAAGGACACCCCTCCCTGACCGAGGGAACTGCCCAAACCTGTGACTGCTCACGAGGAGCTGCTGTGTGACCTTTCAGGCCTTGCCTTCAACCTGAAAGGCCGAGATGCTTCCCAGGTGGCCGTGGGTTCAACCTGCCCAGGCTCAGTTCTATTACTGACCATCCAAAATGTGGAATGAGAGCACAAAGAAAACTTGGTAACATTTGCACAATCTCTCCACAAACAGGTCTAGAAGACCCCCTCAGGACATCCCTGTTTGCAGGTGGATTTCCCTGGGCTGGCACTGAGGCTGCTCAGGTCTCCTCAGGTTTTGGCAATGGGGCAGTTTAGGTCTCTCTCTTAAGTAACTGATTTTCTGTGGAAGTCATTTTTTTATCTCTGTGGTCCCACTGGGAACTGATTTGTCAGGTGTCCAAGTCAAAGCCATTCAGGAGTACGGGAATTGCAGGAGTAGCACAGAATTCGTTTCCTCCTTTCGTTCTTCCAGGCAGCAACAACGCCCGGAAAGAGCCCCTGAGATTGTTTGCTAAGGAAATAATAAATTTTTCTGTCTGTCAGGTAATTTCAATTGAAAATAACCAATGTCACAGCATCAGAGCTGTTGCTGGTGGTTTGGAATTTCAACTGAATTGACCCACAGGCTTCACCTGCTCAAATCCTGCCACGCTCCAGCCTTGCCTTCACTCCCCTCCTGCACTCCCAAATACTCCTTTGGGCCTCTCCAGTGACTCTGCATTTACCTCCCACCACTGCAACGAGCTTTTGCTCTGCTTTCACTGGCCACAGAGGAGCAAAGGCTGGAGAATACCCCACCCCAGGGACATGTGCATTTGATGAGATATGGGACGACGTTACTTCCACTTGTGCCACTGTGGGCTGGTCCCTCACTGTGGAAATGGCCCTGGCACCAGGCCCTGGCACCAATTCCAGCCCCACATGGATTTATCCTGGTGGGATGGGGGAGAGAACTGGGAAGGTAAAAGTAAGAAAAGTGAGGACTGAGATAAACACTGCAGGTGTGTGGCCCCTGCTGTGGGCCCACGAGGATGGACAGTGATGGAGACAGTCCAGCCAGGGGAGCTCCTGTGGGTGGGGAGGTTCAGCAGGAGCCTGAGGAAATCTGTGGCTTTCCAGGGAAATTCCTGCCAGACTCATCCCTGGAGATGAGCAGAACAGGGGAATGCTGTGACTCAAAGCACGTCCCCAGAACACAACTGGAGCCAGACTGAGCTGACCATGGAGCTGTGGCTGTTGGAGCCTGAGCGTGAATGAGAGACTGAGGTAAAACCACGACAAGAACAGAAATAAAAGGGCACAAAGGTGTGTGTGTTTGAGGCACAGCCCAGAGAGAAACCCCCCAGCCCCCACCAAGGGGGGGTCTGAGCAGGCAGGGGCAGAGCTCTGCAGGGCCAGCCCCCAGGGTCTCACCTGCACTGGGGGTGCTCAGCTTTTCCTGCCCCAACCCTGTGGATTTGTCAGCTGAGGATTTCCAAACTCGAGATGCTCCCAGAGCTGTGGGGGTTTTCCTCCTCCTCAGCTCCTTAGGCCTGGCTGAAGGACACGTCCCAAAGTGCTGTGACCGTGATTGCTTCCACATTGGGAATGTGAGTCAGCAAAGGGGGAAAGCCAGAACACACTGAGATTTGCATTCACATTTTTGCACCCAGCTCTTCCCCCCTCCCCCCCCAAGTTTTATGAATCATCACCATCTCCTTATTTATTTTATCTGGCAGATTTTATCTTGGTAGATTTGCTGCCTTAGACAAACAGGATTGTGCCATTAACACGTTCCCTGTCTCCCCGTAAGGAAACCTTTCCTACCAGCTATGCAAAGCGGGCTGATGAAATCCTGGAAATCTGTTTTATCGCTGGAATTATTGTCCACAAGGAATAAACATTGCCTCAGTAATGCTCTGTCCCAGCATTTGCCCTCATTAAAAGGTAATTTCCTTTTCTAGAGCGGAAAAGGAGAAGAAAGGCAATCAAACAAGGGAGGTGATTATTTCCTTGGCTGTTGAGCTCTTTGGAAAGGTGGAAAGATGAAACTTGTGTTTTTGAGAGAGCTGTGAGATGCACCCAGGTCACACACCTGGGGGAGATCTGACAGTAACTGCTCTGGTTTCTCAAGCAGCCCAAGAGAAAAACAAAATGCCAATAAAACACGAGAAGGGCAGCACAGGCTGTCCCTCCCAGAGCCACAAATCAGCCCAGGGCTCAGGCTGGGTTGGCAACACTTCAGGACAGAGAAATGCTTGGCCACCAAGCAATAGGAGCTGGGACCTGTTTTGTAGCACCAAGCTGCAGTTATTTACAAAGAACATCGTCTGCCCTCAGTTTCCTCGAAATCTGCAAGCGTGTTCAACAAACTTCCTCAAAATGCAAGACATTCAGGTGATGTCATTTCTCTGGGCCCAGAGAAGCTGTGGCTGCTCCATCCCTGCAGTGTCCAAGGCCAAGTTGGACGGGGTTTGAAGAAACCTGGGCTGGTGGAAGGTGTCCCTGCCCATGGCAGGAGGTGGAATAAGGTAAGTTTTAATGTCCCTTCCCACCCAAACCATTCTATGACATGGCAAGAGAAGAGTGGTGGAAGCCTTCATGGGTTAAAAGTGGAGCATTTTGGACAGAAGAAAACTGAAATTTTCTTACCTGTGGCTGACTTCTAATTAAATTCTGTTGTATTTCACCTGCTGAGGAGAAAATAAGAGGAGTCCTCAGCTGCAAAGGGCCCTGTAACCACTGCAGAGGGCCGGCCAAAGCCTTCAAACAAAGGTGTAGCCCAAAATAAACAGGTTGTGGAAACATCCTGGAAACCACCTCACACCGAGGAGAAATCAACTGGGAAAGGTGTGCTTGTATTACAGGGGACACCAGCGGGTTCAAAGAGGGCCCATCAGCCCCGGGGAGTGGTGACCACTGTTAATCTTTCCCAAGGGAAGATTCCCTGGGGGAACCAAGCAAAGACTTCCCCGCCGTGTCCCGGGCACAGCCGGGTGCAGACCCCCCTCGCCACCCTCCCAGCTCCCCGGACAGAGGGCTTTGCTGCTGTGATCACAGACTGGGAGCCCCGGGGGAAGCTCTGGGGACATGGGTGGTGCCCCGGGCAAGCCGAGGGCTCCTCTTATCTCTCCGCGGTGGTTGTGAAATGCTGAGCTGGTGGGAAAGCGGGGACAGCGCTCGCAGGGGTGGTGCCCTTGCAGCTGAGGCTTCTGCTGGATCATCAGGGCAGGAGAGGAACATAAACAAGTGCAACAGGAGCTGTGAAGCGCAACAGAGGCTGTAAAATGTGATCAAACACAAAACTGCTACGGAGAGTCCCGGGCGAAAGCTCACTCATTAAAATCAAATATAGAAGTGAATATTTATACACTTAAATCAAAGCACAAATTATATAAATCACCAACCAGCCCAATCCCTATTTCCAGGGGCTTTGGCAGATGTTCTCCCCCAGAGCTCCTGGGCAGACCCAGGGTTGCCATCGTGCTCTGGGCAGGGATGTTCCCCCAGGTGGGAACAGGAGGGACAGAGCTGTGCAGCATCTGGAATTTCAGCACCTTTATCTTCTTACAGCTCTTCATCCCTTCAAGAAGCGATGAGGGGAATGGTAGGACTGGCGTTGGACAGGCAGCAGACCCTCCCTGTTGATCAGAAACCATCACAGCCTTTAGCTCCCTGCTTTCATGTCCTGGCTGCAGCAGGAGATCCACATCCCACACAGGGCTGGGAGCTGTGCTGGGGGTTCATGTGGCTGTGGGTGTATCCCACGGTGCCTGTGGGACGTTCCTCCACTCTTCGCTGATACCTCACGCAGAGAGTCCCCAAAACACGGGTGAACTTGGCTTCCATCCAGCATCACACCTGGAGAACAATCAGGAGCGTCGGTGAACGTCATCACCGTCCAGCCCGGGTCTCCCAGGGAACACCAACACAAACACTTCCCAGGAGAGCCCAGTCCAGCTTTTCATGCAAGGGGACATCCTTCCTTTGCTCAGAGCAAGTTCTTTACTCATGGGTAACCCTGGCTCAGCCAGACAAGAGCAGGACTGCACCCTGTAATCTGCTCCAGCCCCCGATTCCGAGGAAGTGTCTGGGACTCCCCTTCCACGCGGGGCATCAGTTTTTCCAGACAGCTGAAAGTCGACGGCTGCCACGATCCCAGTGAGTAATCCTTGTGAAACCAGCGCCGGGGAAGTTGCCCAGCCAAACAAATTCTGTCACCGTGGCTCTGTGCTCTGACGTGGTGCTGAACGTGCAGCACTATATATAAAACCCAGGAAACGATCCAAGGGAAGTGGCCCATTTCAGCTCTGCTGCAGCCCAGGCACAGGGCACAGGGATGCAGAAAACTATTCCTGGCTGCTTCTTCCAGCAAATGTAAGTATTTTTCCTTTTAAACTAAATTGTAGTAGCACTTCATTACAGTCAGGATATTCCATGGAAATCTGTGTTCCCAATTTTTGTCTCCTCTTCTTTATATTCTTTGATACCATTCCAGGAGGAATTTTGAAAGGAAGTATTTGTTTAACAGTGGGAGGTGGTTTGCTGTCAGATTACAACAACACAAGTTACTATTAAGTGGAATTTGGGAAGCATGTCAGGAGAGAGATTTCTGTGGAGATAAAACCTGTGCCGCTGAAAACGCCAAGTGTTGGATCAGGAAACGTCCCATGAGCTTGAACTGAGGTTCCATCCTCCCAAAGAGCTGTCCAAGTGTCACTGTCCACGTGCAGCGATCCACAGACAGCAGGAGGCTGCTTTGAAAAGTGTAAAGAAACAGATGAATTGGCTCAGGTTTCCTCCTTCACCGATTCTGGAAACAGCCCCTCGTTCCTGTTCCCAGCTGGCCCCATCCCAGGCACGATCCCACCTGCCCAGGTGAAGGCAGAGGGGAGGGTCTGCTGGTGGGGAGCATCTTCTCCCCCTCCCCAGGGCCCTTGGTGGGCTGGCAGGATTTCCCAGCTGTGAATTTGCTGTGGGTGGGGATATTGGCAGTGGCACTCAGGGGAGCCTGTGGCTTCAGCCCCTCCTGGGGCTCCCTGCACAATCTGTCCTTCATGCAGTGCCTCCTCAGCCTCACCTCTGTCTGACCAGGCTGGGGCTGACCAGTGCTGTGCCCTGGGTGGATCTCTGGTGCTGGGTTTGGGTAGAGCAGCAAGGACTGTGCCCTCTCCCCATCCTCGTGGCCCCCAGGCAGCATTCCCTGCCTCCTGCCACCATTCCCTGCCTCCTGCCACAGCCCAGCCCGTGCCCACATGGCATTCCAGAGGGTGTGTGTTGGCAGGTGCCAAAGCCCTGCTGGGGGCCACTGGAGCTCTCCCTGACAGAGCACCCAGCTCTGCTTAATGAACCAGAGCAGGTGTATCCAAACTGCATTCGGAGCAGGAACTGGGAATCAGGATGTTCTTTTCCCTATCAAACATCTCCAGCTGCCTGTGTGGTGACACATGGGCCTGCTCCTGTCCCTTGGCCCAGGGTGTCACCTGTTTCCTTTCCCCGTGCCCAGATTCCTTCGGAGGTATGAAAAGCGTCCCCGCCTGGGGACAACCTGTAACCTGTAACCTGCTGGCTGGGACACCCAGCAGAGATAAACATCTAAATCCCCTGCGGCCAAGGAGGAAATCCAACCTCCAAACCTCGTTCTGCCACATTCTGGGTGCAGTTCTAAGCACTAAATCACAGCGTGAGAGAGGTGAGGGAGGCAGGAGGGAGCCCTGACGATGATCCCGTGACAATCATCCTGTGACAATGATCCCGTGACAATGGTCCCATGACAATGATCCTACCTCCTGGGCCAGTTGTGGCTCAGAAGGAATTACACCTCTGCCATGTCTCTAACAGAAAGTGGGGAGGCATCTTCTATCCAGGAACTCCAGCTCTTTTCCAAAGGACACGGTGGTGGTAAGGAAAATGCTGGCAGTGTTACGTAAAATGCTGAATTTTTCAAGAGGGGAGGAGATGAGAAACAGTCTGAGCTCCTCAGTGTCCAGACTGGCTGCTTTGGGTACCTCCTCCAGCTGGACCAGCTGCTCCTCATTCCTAACACTCCTCCTTAGATGAGCTGATCACCAAGCCCTGGTGTAAGGTAGGACCCAATGTCCAGGAACTCAGAGTTAAAATGCTCCACAGGGACAAGATCTCCTGTAAATCCACCACTGGTGGTTGTAAACAAAAAGAGAACATTCTTGTTGTACCTTTCCAAAGGAGTAATTTGCTTGAGTAGCAAGATAAATCAGGATTTACCTGCACTTATCACAGCTTTGGTCTCCTCCACTTGTAGCCAGGGAGCTGAATGAGCCTTCACACTGTGGATCCACGTGGGTTTGATCCAATAGATCTCGATTTTATTGGTGCTCTGTCAAAACAAATGATCAAACCAATCACAGAGTCATTAAAGTTGGAGGAGACCTCTAAGATTTAAGCCCAACCAGCGCTCAGACATCAGTGGTCAGAGATTAACTGTTGCCCATGTCCTCAGTGGAGAAGAAAAGCCCATCTCGGGCAGACAGGGAACACCAAAGGGCTGCACCAGGACTGGGCTCAAAGCTCCTGGACTTCATGGGGAGAGCACAGACCACTGATTTTGGAAAGATTTTGCTTTTGCCACAAAATGCACGGTCATTTTTTCTGCTTAATCACTGTGGAAAACGAGGGCAGGATGAACCAAATCGACTTCACCTGAAGTACAGGGAGAAGTTTTCCCTCCCTCTTCCCCAGAGCATTCCTGTAGCAAGTTGGATCAGATACTTAAAAGACAAAGGAGAACAGGCACATGTAATCTCAGATGAGTCAGCCTGGTACAGATCGAGTCTCCACAGGCAACGGGAATCCCAGCCTTAACAAAACTGGCTCAGGACCTTTCAGAGGAATCACTCAGGATTATCATCATCCCACCACAACTAAAACCAGGCAGTGACTAAAGCAACCAGCCAGACCTGTTGGGTAACTGCACTGGAAAAGCTCAGTAGTTCCAGCTCCAAGGCAGTCCCATTGGGAATTCTGAGAATTCACATTAAGGAGATAATTGCTCAGTATGAGAGAAATGGGATGGTTACTCTCAGTTAAATCTCTGGGGCTCAGCCTCCTGGAAACCTTTCTTGAGCTGTTGGCCTCAAAACTGGTCACACACTTCAGCCAAGAGCCAAATGTTGCCAAGTTCCTTATTACAGTTAATGAAAATGCCCAAATGTGAGATCTCTGCAGAACCCCACCTGACACATCATTCCTCTAATTCCTGATAAAGAGCCTTCCCTTACTATCCCACCCCAATGCATGACCTAATCACAGTTTCATCTACTCCACATTTCTTACCTTGTTTTCCTCTATAAAAATGCCTCATGAAACAATATTTGAACTCATTTAATGAGACTCAAGCAATGTGACACTTGCTGGTGCTCACCTGGGAGATTTATGATCCAGCTACAGAAGGAAGCTGGGCCCAATAAATTTAACTGTGAGACACCCACGTTGTTCTTCCTTATCTCCTCTCTGCCATTTAGATAACAATTTCCTTGTTTATTTTAGTAGAATTGAATTAGCACATTATTTTAGTGTTTTCTGGCAACTGAAGTTCATCATTTTCTGGCTCCTCTTGTCCAACTTCTCCCTTTCAAACACAGGCCCCAACTTTGCTATTTCAAAATTTTCAGGGACTTCTACCAGCTAAAACTTCTCAGTGATAAATAACAAGGGAGATGCTTCCATCTCCCACCTCACCTTCCTTACCTGACCATCCTTGTTTCACGGCTCTTCATCTGTTGTCTTGGTCTCTCCAACATAATTCTTATACATTTATGCTAATCTTTTATACTGATCTTCATCATAGAATCCTCACTCATCATCCAATCCTCACTCCACCTTTTGTAAGCATCTTTCTTTTGGGATCAGAAGAACTAATAATTTAACCCAATTAACCTCTTGGTGCTCTTTGTAACCTTAACTCACACAGGGACAGTTCCCACTCTGCAACATCACACCAGTTATGCTGCTACCTGAAAATATCCAAGCACTTTATGAACTTCATTCCTGTTTAAGATACGAGTGTGCAAACACAAGCTCAGGTCCTGAGCCGTGAGTCATCTCCAACCAGTTCTTGACGCCCAAATGTGTTTGTACACTTTGCCTGGAATCTACCCCACTAATTTTACATTTAATCACCCTTTTTTTCTAATGCATTCTAGGTATTCTTCCCTAACTGGCATTCTGATGGAGAGAGACCACATGAAAGACCTCAGGAGATACCTGGCACTCAAATACATCCAGTACCTTGTCCTGTCTTCCTCCAACGCCCTCAGCACGCTGCTGGGCCTGCTGGGCAGTGCGTGCACCGTGATCACCCTGCAGTCTGCCAGGGTTTCCTCCAAGTCCACCGCAGTGCTCATCTCCAGCCTGGCAAAGGCAGACGTGCTGGTCGTGGTGAGCCTGGTTTTGGAGGTGGGTTCATGGACCCTTGGAGCGGGTGCATCGCCCGCAGCAGCTCTGGCGCGGAACCTCCTGACGGCGAACGCCCACATCAGCTGCGTCCTGCTCAGCGCCGTGGCCCTGGAGGCCTACCTGATCACCTTCCTCCCCACCCAGTCACGCCACCTACGGACCGTGAAGAACGCCAGGAGGGCATCCAGGCTCATCTGGGTCCTGGTGGCTGCAGAGTGCGCCCTGTTCCAGGTGGACGATCTCCTGACGGCCAGCGGTGCCTCCGCTCCCGCCCATGGCCCCTGGGCTCTCTTGTTTCCCCTCTCCAGCACGGCTGCTGCCCTCCTCAGGTCCCTCACTTACATCCTGGGCGTTCTCTTGAGGATTTTCAATGTCTACATCTACTACAAGATATTTTTCAGCATGTCTAACAGGTCTAGGCTGAAATCAAAGTAGAGCCTGTTCGCGGGGGAAGCGGCGCCGTGACACCCAACAGAAGGTGCTTCAAACCAGTTCCAAACCATTGGTTTGGAAACTGTTCAATAAGCAGGACCAAGGCTCGTGTTTGGGCTCCCCAGGGGGTTTAAACCCTCCTGTTTGCTGGTGCTGTGGTCATGGAGAGGAGCTGGGGCTGAGGAGCCCCTTGGCACTGAGACACCACCACCAGCTGTGCCTTTGGTTGGGCTTTATCCACCATGCAGGTGGAACAAATGACATTTCAGGGAGGGTTGTAAAGCAACCCCACTGTCTTCTATATCAAAAGGGTGCTTGGAGGATTACTCAGGGATCTGTTGAGCCAATATGTAGTTGTTTACTGAAGACATGATCTAAATATCTCTGACCCAGGTGACCCACCAGACTCACGGATGGAAAGTCAAGGTGAGCACTGAGCAGGGTCAGTTGGGCACTGAACAGGCTCCCCAGGGCAGTGGGCACAGCCCCAAGGCTGCCAGAGCTGCAGGAGGGTTTGGATGATCCTCTGGGGCACAGGGGGTGACTCTTGAGGATGCGCCTGTGCAGGGCTGAGGGTTGGACTGGATGGTCCTTGTGGGTCCCTTCCAGCTCAGCACATTCTGTGGATGATTCTGTGACACTCCCTAAGACACAAGTGGCTGTAGACACTTCCAACCACCTCTGCCCTCTGCTTGGGAGATGCCCCAGATCCCACAACTACAGACAGTGCTGTTGGGAGACCGAACCTCTCGATGTGTTCTGCCACCCCCACATGGTGGCTGTGGAGCCAGCAGTGAGTGCTGGGTGCTGACAAGGGCTTCTCAGGAGACCTCAAAGGAAGCTGTGCTGAGGGCTGGGCAGTGAGAAAAGGCAGAGCAGAAATGTAATTGAGTCAATTAAAGCCCTTTGATGCGCGTTGCCGAACAAAGCTGATCCCTCGGGCGGGAGGGATGTCCTGGTGCACTGTGATTCACTGCTCTTAGTCTTGAAACGAGACACTCTCAGGAGAGATGAAATGCTACTTGAAGTGCTGTAATGAATAAAAATTGGTTTGGTTAAAGCTTGTGATTTCTTTATTACAAATGGGAGGTTCTGCTGCAGTTGCAGCTCTGGCAGAAGCCGAGGCTGAGTGGGGATGATCCCACCAGAGCTGTGTTTGGTGCACGAGGAGCACGGGGGTTTAATCTCTGCATTCACCACTTGGCTCAGGAATTTTTTCTGCCTGATCACCCTGGTGTCTCTGCCCTTGGGACAATCCTTTCCTTAAGAAATTAATGAAAGCAAATCTAAGTGTGTCTGAGCTGTGGTCAGGCTGGAAGGGAAGGAGATGCTCCACAAGGGTGTTCTGGGACAGCACACCAGGCTATGAGGGATCTGCATGGCTGGAACACCCAAAGCACTTTGCAGTCAGTGACAGACCCTTTATTCCCTTTGCTCACATCCTCATCTGAAGTTTCCTGACCCCTGAAAGAAAGCTGATTCCTCTACAGCTGGACTAACAGACACGAGCTATTTTTATTTGCCCCTTGAATTCGATTCCCTGAGTGCTTTGGGGTGGTTTATGAACCAGCAAATCCCACTGTTGATCTAGCTGTGACTCTGATATCAGGTCATTCTCTGCCAAAGAGCTCAAAGTCTGCCTTGGCCTGGAGCTCAGAATCACAGAATTATGGAATGGTTTGGGTGGGAAGGGATCCTCATCCAGTCCCACTCCCTGCCATGGGCAGGGACACCTTCAACTAGCCCAGGTTGCTCCAAGCCCCATCCAATGTGGCCTTGGACACTTCCAGGGCAGCCACAGCTTCTCTGGGCAACCTGTGCCAGTGTTTGGCTTGGAGCTATTTCCTGCACCAAAACCCCCAACCCATCCTCCCCAGGATGACAGAAGCCTTTTCTGGGGGGCAGGGAGAGGCACCCATCCCTCTGCAGTTGGGAATTCCAGTGGAAGGCACAGACGGGCAGGACACAGCTGGCATGGGGAGGGCATGTGCCTCTCACAAGATCCATGTCCTGCTCTCACAGGACACTGGAAATGTATAAACTCTGCCTCTTGGAAGAAAACTGGTTTAGATTTCAAGGCTTTCAAGTGCGTTGTCAGCCAGGAATTGCATCACTGCAGCAGCACCGCACGAGCAGAAAGCTGAAATCAAACAAAGCCTGGAATACAAACATAATGATGCACAAACAGGGGAATTCCCACGTCGTGGGAATGACCAAAATTGTTAAATTGCACAGATGAGGCTACACAGTGTGTTTACCTCACTTAAAGCATTAAGGCAAGAAGGAAACCTTTCTCCTTCTTTTGCTGGGAAGACTCATTCAAAGAAAGCTCAAAGATAATTCAAAGAAAGTTTGATGATAGTCCACAGAGCTGTTTCTGAGAAGGAAAGAGTTAGACAGAAAAGCATTTTTCTACAACTGGGTCATCTTTCAGAGATCTGTTTTCTGAAGCACCGATAATCCAAACAAAGGGCTGGAGATTAAATCTCCCAGAACCCACATGAGCAGATTGAACTGAAGAGATGGGTTTGCTCCCTGCAGTAAATCACACTGACAGAAGACATTGAGAGCTCTTGGGAAATGTTGGTGTTTTGATATCGGTGCCTCAAAATTCTGGAGAGTTACGAGAAAATGTGTTTCTTCGAACTGTTGCTGGCTCCATTTTCTCTAACTCACAGCTATTTCTCCAAGCGACATTTAACATATCTCTGAGGGTGTTTTATAACGAAACCGAGCGCTCTCGAGAGTGCAAGGAGATTTTTGGCCGCGCTGGCTCCGGCTGGGAACGCGTGAACAGCACGTGGTGCTGAGTGGCCCCGGCCACACCAAGGACACGCCGTGTCCGACACGTCCTGCCCAGGGTTCTGGCTCTGCACCCTCGTTCCTGTTCGCTGCATCACCCCTGGAAGCGCTCCTGGTTCCGCGGAGATCGCTGCTCTTGTTTAAGCACATCGTGCCCTCTGCTGGGAGCGGGATGGTTTAGAACAGCCCGGAGGGAAATCCTCCCCCTTCGTCCTGGCAGATGCCTTGTGACAAGGACAAGGGGGAAAGGCTTTAAGCTGAAGGAAGGGAGATTTAGATGGGATATTGGGAAAGAATTCCTCCCTGTGAGGGTGGGCAGGCCCTGGCACAGGTTGCCCAGAGAAGCTGTGGCTGCCCCTGGATCCCTGGAAGTGTCCAAGGCCAGGTTGGATAATGGGATAATAAAAGGTGTCCCTGCCCATGGCAGGGGGTGGAAGGATGGAGTTTAAGGTCCCTTCCCACCCAAAGCAGTCTGAGATTCCATGCTGTGATCCCATTGTGCCATAGCAGTGCTGGGAGGTGACAGCTCCACCCCTGGTGGCCCCTTTCCCCAGCCACCTCAGCCCTCTGCCACACGACCCCTATTTATTCCAGCCTGGCTCTGTGACCTCTCCCTTGCAAGCTGCAGCTGTGCCAAATAAATCCCCTGGGGGCTGAACACCCACTCCTTTGCCCCCAGGATTATTTGGGGTAGGACAAGCAGTGACATTGCCACACACGGTCCTGCACTGCTCTGCAACCCTCCAGCTCAGGCTCTGGAGGTACCTGTGGCCAGGTGGGAGCTTTCTGTTTGTCAGAGCAGTGTGATGGTGTGTCACACCTCAACAGGGAATTTCTGGGGGGGGGAGGGGGCACAGCAGGGTTCTGCCTGCACCCCACAGCCCCCAGGGTGCAGCTGGGAGTGACCCCGTGGGTCACACAGCCAGGCCACAGCCCATGGAAAGCTCCTTGGTGATACATGGTTTGGGATTTAACAGGAGTTTCTGGGGGAATCATATCACGGAGTCACCTGGCAAGGTGATGTTTGCTGAAAGCAGTGCTGGTTTCCAGCTGCACGAGCCAAACTCCGGCCTCCTGGCCAGGGTAATCAGGGGGAAATGGGATTACAGGTGCAGGTGTGGCTCTCTGGGAGGCCCAGAGAGCTGAGTTCAGACACACACAGGGGTGAGGATGCGACAGGGATGGGAAGGACCGAGGTGACACACTGCACATTTCCATTCCCTTTCTTCCCTCCCACTGATCCCCACGTTTTCCTGAAATTAGGCTGGACAGGCACCCAAGCAGAAGCATCTGTTTCTCCTTTCAGTGTCAGCAGTGTAAATAAAGTGCATTTGGGATGTTTGGATTCCATAAATCTATTGGTTTTGGCTCCTCTATGGCCCCAGCCGGGCTCTGATCCGGCGCCAGGCACACGGGAGCTGTTTACAGAGCGGGGTGACCGTGGGGACCCTGCCTGTCACTGCAGCAACTGTCACCTCCCCTGGCCCTTCGCTGAAATAGCTCCTGGAACAGCAGCTGCTGAAGGGGGGGATGGAGGTCCCAGGGGCTGGGGGTGCCAGCACCCCGTGGATGGCCCTCACCAGCCTTCACAGAATGGTTTGGGCTGGAAAGGACCTTCAAAGGCCACTTAATCCAACCCCTCCATGGGCAGGGACACCTTCCACTACACCAGGCTGCTCAGAGCCTCATCCACCACCTTCCCATCCTCAGCCTGGCTCCCTTTGGCTGCCTCCTGTGGCAGATCCCCTGCCAGACTCGTGCTGTCACCACGGTGGGGAGCCAGCATCCTTCGGGAAGGGTTTGTGTGTCCAGGCTCCAGCACAGCCCAGTCCCCAGGGTGGGCTAAATCCTTCCCGCAGTTTAGAAAAGGATGACCTGGGGCACTCACCCTGCTACTGCTCTGAGTCCTGGCGCTGAGTTTGGGTGGAAAATTGAGCACCTCAATGGTTTAAACCAGAGCAGATGCATCACCACGAGAGCTACCAAACAATTACTTAAATCTGTTTAAGCTCGTTCCTTTTTGTCTCTTTTGAATAGTGGAGTAGAAATATATATTCCCTGTGACTTTTTCCTTGTTAACTTGCCTGCTTTTCCCCAAAGGATTGTTAATGAGACACTGCATGGCCTCAAGAACATGGAAGACAGGCCTTTTCCTTGTAAACACAGCAGCCCAGTGGTTTGCTGGAATTCACCCCAGAACAGAACCACCCTCGGGGTTAGGAGGTCACACTATAAGCAGATACTTTGCCATAGTTTTACGTTTTCAGATGGAGGAACACAGACAAACACAAGATTTTCCTTTGCCTGCTAAAGAAACAGAGGGGATGTGAATCCAGGTGGGCACTGCCCCTGAGGGCTGGTTTGGGGGTCTCCAGGGCTTGCAGAGCCTGATCCCACCAGGCCCCAATTCTGTGTTTCCCTCCTCGAAATCCCCTGTGCCTTGTGGACATCAGAGCCACGACCTGGCAGCTTTTTTCCAGCCTCCTTTCCACAGGATGGGCTGTTTGCTCAGGTAGCTCGGAGGGAGGTGAGGAGGAAGATGAAGGGATGCAAACCCCATTTGCCCTTCAGGTGGAAGGGCGGGTGATGCTTTGGACTCCCCCACCTGCGCGTGGGGGGTGCTTTGTGCCCAGCCAAGGTCAGTGGTGGGGCTCCAAACCTCCCTGTTGATTATTTACGTGAGAAAAGGCAGATTTGCCCGTCCTGTGGCTGATCCAAGATGCAAGGGAAGCTCAGCCCCAGCGAGATGGAGACGCTGCAGAGTGGAGGGTGTCATTCCAAGGGTGAGCTCTGTCCAAGGAGATAAATAACAAAGAACGGGAAAAACATCAAAAGGAGGGGGATTTTCTGAGCAGAGAAAGGGCTTTTCTCCGAGCAGAATCGGAGGGGGGGAGGCATCAGGAGCTCATGGAGCTGCTGACCTTCAATCCAGGCAGAATCTTGCTCCTCGCTGAGGTCAAAAGTTGTATTTGCTTTTTGGGAAATGCCTCGGCTCCTTTATCCAAGAGCAACAACCCCGCGTGTCTCGGGGAGGAGGGGGCGGGACTGCACGAGAGTGGGATGGAATGACAGCTGAACCACGGCCCCCACTCGTGCACATCCCCCCTCTGAGCCGGGGCAGGCAGAGCTGCCACGACCCCGCAGGGTTTTCCTGCCAGCCGGGACCGAAAGCGAAGGAATCAGCGACTCCTGCCACTCCGGCTGGATGCTTCCCCACCAGGAGCTGCTCTCCCGGGAAGCTCCGTGCTCGGGAGGTGGATCCTGACAGCACAGCTTGAGTCCCGATCGCCCCGAGAGCAGAAAGGAGGGTTTGGGGGGCTGGGGAAGCAGCTTCGAAGCCGTCAGGTAGAAAAGGGGGGGAAACCCCCCCTCAAATTGAAACTGCAGAACGGGCTCAGCCACTTTCAGATCCCTCAAATCGCTATTTTTCCCCCCTCCTCCATCCCGTGGAAAGCACTGACATTACTCCCTTAATTATTTGTATGTAAAACACTCAATAATCTATTTTAAAGTGATTTTTGAATTCAGTTATCTGCACGTTTCATTGACAAGGCAGGAGACACATAAAGCAACTGAAAGAAAAAAAAACATTTTTGAATACCTCCATGGATCAAGAGCCCAGATGAAAAGCAGATGTTGGAGGCAGCTGCATAAAACAAATATTGAGGAGGCCAAGAAAAGAGATCCTAAAGAAATAACATCCCTGGTGATGTGCTCCTCCAGAACATCTCTGTGTTGCTGGTTAGAGCAGACAGGTTTTTAGCCAGCCAAGTTTTTAGGCAGCCAGATGTTAAGCCAGGTTTGCCACCCCCACCTTTGGGGTCCCTGCTAAAGCTGTGCCAGTTTGTAGTCCCACTGGCACCCCAAAAATGCCCCAAAAAGCATCACTCCAGTCTCCTCTGGGGCTGGGTGATGGCTTCACACAACCTCCTGATAAATCTGCTGAACCTCACCCTCTTCCCTCACTCTTCTCCCCTCACTCTTCTCCCCTCACTCCCTGGGATGTGCTAATGTGAATTATGGTCTCCTTGAATTTTCATTAAGAACACGGAAATGAGAGAAGAAATTAATCACAACCTCTACTCTGCCCTTCCCTTAAAAGGGGAAAAAGGCAACAGAGGGGGGAAAGGAAGGATTAACCAGCTGCAAAATAAAAGACCTTTGTTTCCCCTACAAGGTAAACCACGCTTCGAAATCATTCTCGTGAAATCCTTCGAGGTCATTGCAGTTGTTAATTAATCGTGAACAGACACCTCTGTACAGCCCCACCCTCCCCATCAGCAGGGGCCACTCTGGTGGGGATGGTGGGTGTCCCTGGCAGATGCCAGAGCTCTGCCATGTCCTGCTGCAAGGACACTGAGCCCTCCTCCCCAGGCCAGAGCCGAGCAGGAGCGGCCACACTCGTGACAAAATTGTCCCCACACTGTCCCCACACTGTCCCCACATTGTCCCACACTGTCCCCACATTGTCCCTGTGGCCAGCAGCCCTTTAGCACAGGGCATGTTGCCCCCTAAACCTGCCCAGACTTCCAGAGTCATTTAATGTTGGAAAAGCCCTCTGAGATCCTCGAGTCAGCTGTTCCCCCAGCACCTGCCTGGTACAAGCTCCAACCCCACCTGAGCCCCCCTCAGTTCCTTCCACAGGGAAAAGGATGGTGAAAGTGGATCAAAAAGATACTAATGAGGGTTTTTTCACAGTACAAAATTGAAAAAAAAAAAACATATAAAACCAAGTTGCATGGCAAGATCAGGGCCAAGGCTTGACCCAACTTACCCAGGGGCTCTCCCACTGTCCTGGAAAGGCTTTCACTGCAAAGTGATTCACCACACACGGAAGTGAAGAAAGGAAAAAATCCACTTTCCTTTCAGTTTGGTCAATCTGCCTTCCCCAGCCCCCTGGATGGTGCTGCAGAGTGAGTGTGTTCTACCACTGCAGGCACGAGGGGCCACCAGGGCTGCCCACCCCATGAAATCCTGAGGACTGCAGATGGTTTCAGCCCAAATTTCACATAAAACACAGCAATAAGGCTTTTTTTCCCCTAATAAAGGAACTCTATAATAATCACAGCACAGGATACTGCAGAGACCTGGTGATTAAACACGCCATGAGACTCTTGGCCCTTCTCAGTACAGTATAAAACTATAAAAAAGTCAAGTTCCTGAGTCCCAGATCTGCTTGTCATGGCAGGTTTCTCTTCGGCACAAATGTTGAAGATGCCACATTTCATTGTCTGCAAGAATTCTCCAGGGAGAAGAATTCAAGCAATGAAAATAGTTTGGCATTTGACCAACTATTTAAAATATTTAACAATGACCTTGAGAATTACACAAGGATCCAGTTAAAGCCATAGTTTAAGACAAAAAAAAAAAAAAAAAAAAAAAAAAAAAAAAAAAAAAAAAAAAAAAAAAAAAAAAAAAAAAAAAAAAAAAAAAAAAAAAAAAAAAAAAAAAAAAAAAAAAAAAAAAAAAAAAAAAAAAAAAAAAAAAAAAAAAAAAAAAAAAAAAAAAAAAAAAAAAAAA